GCCCCCCCCCTCCCCCCCCTCCCCCCTTCTCCTCCTCGTGTAACGGCCGAACCCACCCTCGTCGTGGACGCTCTCCTTCGGGAGGACCGCCGCCGATGGCGGGAGACGACGCGGCGGGAGAGGCGGACCTTCGCGAGGGACGTCCGGCGGGGGAAGGTGCCGATCCCCAACATCAACGGCCGCGCGGGGAAAGGAGGGGGGATTTTCGTTCTCCCTGCTGAGCTCCAACAGGCGCGGCGGGCGGACCTCGCGCGGGTCCTCCGCGAGGGGGGAGACCACCTCTACGGCCTCGCCCACGCTTGGGCACGTGGGATGCCGCCGAGCGGCTTCGTGCGGATGCGGCCAGCGGCAGGCCGGGCAATGTGGCCGGACGAAAGCGCCATGGAGGGCCCGTGGATGGCATGGCAGTTGAAGGACTGGCGGGCGCGCCGGATGCGCCGAATGCGGGGGGAGGTCAACCGACAGAACGCCTACAACGTCCTTGCCAGCCGGTATGGCCAGAGGATTTTTTTCATGCCCAACCTCGTCCGCCACCTCGCGGAGGCGAACAGGCTGTGTTTCGCAAGCGACGAGGACGAGCCGGATATCGCGGAGACTACCCTCCTCACCGAGGTGGCGATGACGATCCGGCGGGAGAATCAAATGCTTGGCTCTCTCACCCCGGTCTGTGACGGGCCATTGGCGATCAACATTATTGCCAAGTTTCCGTCGAGCCGCACACCTGCAACCACATCCAGCAGAGAAAATGAAAAACCGGTGAAGAATGAGGAAACCCCTCATAACTGCAAAAAAGATCAAACCGAGGACCTTCACGACATTCAGCTACTAGGCACCTTCCGACAAAGCTTGTTGTTGATTCATTTTAAAGTGTACTGCTGTGCACTCCATGATGAAGTCCAACAACGCCATGATGGACACCTCTTAAACCTGGAAAACGTCCAAACCCAACACGCTCACAGCATCGCTTCCTCCACAGCAAACGAAAAGAAACTCTTTTCGAGGGAAAGGGTTACTTCCACAGGCAAAAAAACAGCCAAGCGCCAAAACACCGAGGATGATTCTGTCTTATTGGCGGAAGTCCCACATATTCCTCGCCCAATTCTTCGTCTTCAAGAGGGCGAACTGCCATTGTTAAATCCCCACAAACGAAATACGCCAAATCTTTCACACGTACAGCCCGCTCGCTGCTGGGTGGGGTTATTTCCCACTCCACAGGACCTCCTTTTGCCCAATTCCGTCCTCGACGCCCTGCACATTCCACAAATGGACCCATCGGAGCGTAAAGAACTTCAGCAGAGGACGCTACAGACGTGGAATTACCTTCACACGGAGTCCGTTATCGCGCGGCAGGCCGTCCGGGACGTTTTTCACCACCTGGACTTGGACGCGGATAGGCAGCTGAATAAGGAAGGGTATACTAAATTCGTTCGGCATCTACTCGATCTCTTCTTTCCCACACATCTACCTCAACTTCACCTCGATATCGCGGCGGAGGAGTGGATATACCGTGGGACCACGGAGAACGTCGGGTTTGATACCTTTTTCGAGAAATTTTTCCCTCTTCCGTTTATCTTCAACCGCGATTTAGTGTCCACCACGGAGAACGATTACGCGGAGTGGTGGTGTATTGTGCGGATTTGCCTCTTCAAAGGCACTGAGACGATGATGGAGGAGCTTCGCTCCCTTCGGTGTTTTGAGCTTTTTGGGGAGTCCTCCATCCAGACCGACCGCGCGGCGGCTGCGATCCCGCGGACGCTTTCGGGGATGCGCTGTTGCGGGGGCTTGGCCTCCCCGGGCCCCCGCCTGCGGCGACGGGCCTCCGTCTCCGTCGGGTGCTCCTTCCTCGTCCCCCTGACGAACTTCACGGAGGGCCAAATCCGCGTCCTGCAGGACCGCAACCCGGCCGAGGCCCGGATCTGTTTCAAATCCCAACGGGCCTCTGCCCAAGGGCGCAAAGAAGGAGAGAGGGGGAGGAGGGTCTCTCTCATGTTGGGGGCGTCCCTGGGAGAGGGCGAGAGCTCGTGGTGCGGGACCCCGGTGGAGGTGGAGCCGGTGGGGAGGGTGCGGGGGGGGAAGGGCGTGGGTTCTTCAGCCTTCGCTGAGGACGGGCATCGCGGGGCGATCTTCCATCCGCCGCGGACCCTCGACTCTGGGATGTGGGGGTCCTTCGCCGAGGGCTCCCGCGCCGCGGCGGCCGAGCGCGTGCAACTCGAATCCGACCTCGACGCCATCCTGCCGGGCTCCCATCTTTACCAACGCCGGCGGAAGCGCCTCCAGTCGGCTTACCAACGCGCGATCACGCGCACGGCGAACACCACAAGCTCCTGGGAGACCTTTTACAGTGATGATCCGGATATGATCCAGTCCTCCCCTCCCCCTGTGAGTTATGAGGATCGTTTGCTTGAGTTCGTGCAGGATCTGCCGGAGGAGATGTTTGACAAGCTCACTTCCCTCCGCGATCGGTTCCCCATATATGAGGCCTACAGCGAGGAGCGCCGCCGCCGAGGACTTCAGAAAATGGCGGTGTGGATGAAGGACGCCAGGGCGGAAATTAAAAAGGGGAAAAAAACCCCGAATCCCCAATATTATAAGCATAATAGGAATAAGGGTTGCCATGCGGGTCCACGTTTCTTACCTCCACAGGCTTTAGCTCATAATATGGAAGCAAGTTTCTTCCCGTTGCCTTCCCCTCGCCTGCAATCCACGAAATTTTATGAGAGAGCCAAAGGAACTAAAGGAAGGAATACAACTGAATCGCCTTCTCTTTTAGATTGTAAAACACTTTCTCAACCGTCTGACCGCAGCGGTGGCATTTTTTATCAAGCAGGGATGCTTCAAAATCTTTCGATACCTACCAATGAAAGGTTGAATTCAGGGCGATTATCATCGCTCATGAAACCCCATGGCGATACGATAAACTCTCAAACTGAGACCCTGAAGCTAACCCCAACTAACCTATTAACACCAGTTGAAAGCTTAGAAAGGTTCGAATCTGATGGAAATTCATCCAATTCAAAGACAGGAGATGAAGCATCTAATATCCAATCCAAACGACATTCTGGATATTATTCCGATACACAAAACAACTTGAGTGAAACTACTCAGTCTTCTTCAGTCAATTCGAAGAACGATTTAGCAAAAAATCGCTTACATATCACGACCTTTGATCACTCTTCTGGTACTTACAACCCAATAACATCCCCAACGTCATCAAATAATAGCAGAACAAAAACACGAAATATAAAGGATAGTGCGGCTATCAAGACAAAAGTAGATGGACTAGCAAACTATTCAAAAGGATATCGCATATTTGATCTCGACAAGTTTATCTCTTCCGTTTCTGGGTTTAAACTGAATCGAAATATAGGCATGTAAAGAAAAATAGAGATTGATTGGGTGTATTATTAATATCATTATTGCATAAATTAAATATTACCCTATATGTGTATGATATCTTTTTCAGGATTAGATTCAAGTGGATTTTTTACCCTTTTTTGAAAAATTCGTGAAAGCATTATTTGTTATAGTAAAATTTTATGGGTGATAAGCTTATCAGTGGCTTTTGTTACTTCTTTGTCACGTTTGTCGTTATTTCTCTACATTTCTTTTTTTTAAAGAATTTACACTTCTTTGCTTATCTGAGCTGTATGGTATTATGGGGATTGCACATGTATACATTTTATAATGTAGAGTTCAAAATAAAGGTTATCGCTGTTTTTTTTATTATAAAAAAGCAAATCCCCCTATGTTATACTTTCCCATACGCAGCAGATCAGCATCAACATATAAATGATATATGTGAAAAGAATGGATTTTGCTCTTTCAACAAAAAATGATATTAATCTTTTGATAGTGATAAACATTATCGGATTACTGGCATTACAAGTTATGGGTTATGTTCCGTATTATATCACGTATTATTTCTCTCATTTTTTTTCGAATAAAAGCAGTTTAAAAAACTCACTAAAGGAGGAAGCATATCAACTCCAAAAATCCAATACTGCATGTTATTCATATTATTTGTGGTGAATGTCTACTGCAATTCAAACCATCGGAGGAAAGCAGATCATCCGCCTGGGTTCACCTCTGGTAGTGGGGATTCGTGTGCAAGGTACGATAGGCTATTCCTCACTGGACAGCCCTCACGCAGTTCATATTAAACCCCGCCCGTACTTACGCTATTTAGCGGATACACTCAGAAATCTTCACTGTGATGTGAGTCTTTTGTTTAATCCGATTGGAATGTGTTGTATGGAGCAGGATTATCATCCAATTAAGCAATTTACCCAAGGTCATTTCCCGCTGCCTTTTCGTTGTCTATTCGACGAAAAAAACCCCAACAATCTGTCATCAAACAACCGTTTTAAACTGACCTCGCGAAATTACAACGATTACTTTCGTTTGGTTTGTCAAGAAGCCCAAACGAACCCTGGACGGGTGATTGTAATAGATTCCGAAATCAATTATCGCTATACCTCCCCGCAAGTGCTCATTGTGGAGGCTTTTGAGCCTCGCCGGAAAAGACAGGTGCGGGGGTCCGGCGGAGGTTCGCCGACTTTGGAGAATTTACCCCTCTCTTCTCAGCAGCGGCGCCGTGAGACATTCCAAGCTGGGATAACGCATATCTTATCCGATATCGAAACCAACACGTCGGCCTTGCAAAGAGAAGGTGATCAAGAACGTAAAAAATGTGGTGAGGATTATGATAAGATAAGAAGGTATTTTGAGGAGAAAGGTTCGTCGCCGATGGTTCCGAATCGTAGCGCGTCTTCAAATCATTTTCTCTCCTCTTTAAGGGAGAAGAGCGAGCTTGACAACGGAGGGGGTGTGGTTGAGCGTCGTATCGAATCAAAAAAATTAAACTACATGAGTAGAGTAAGAGAATTGTTTAAATCGAAAACTCCGCTTGCGACCGACAGCATCGATTTCGACTGGAAGCCTTCCACAAAAGTAACGCACTATAAAGAAGGGGAGGAAACCAATGGCAGCGATACAACTAACAAGAATTATAGCGAACATGTTCAAAAGGAAAAAGAAAGGTTATCCTCATCTTCTTTTGATATTTCAACAATGACAAACCTTGCAATTAATAAAGAAGATTTTACGCTCGTGGCGTTGGCGGAGATTATAACGGAGCTCGCTGCTAGTGAGAGTAGCGTGATCGATTACTTCAAGAAGGAGGTCTTAGTCGAGAAGATCAACGTTCCAGCGCATGGAATTATTAATTACTTACCCATTGAGAACTGCGATTATATCAACATGCTCGATTGGGAACAGGTTCGTGTAGAAGAAAGGCAAAGAAATGAGGGAAATGAAATGCCGGAGGTGCAGGAAAGAGAGGAACATAAAGATCTGTTTAAGTGAAAAGTGCGTGATGGGATTAGACAACCAGGAATAAATAAAACAGGGGAATAAGTGTTACTTCCATAATAGGAATAACCCTTAAGTTTATTCATTCCTTGCAATTGAAATAGGGTGACTTGTTTATTCATTATTATTGTTATTATGTTTTTTTCACGCATTGTATCAGAATGAGATTATTTCTCATTTAAGTAGAAAAGGCATTGTTTCTACAAATAATATTTTTACTATTGTCCATATATTCATTCACCCAAACTTTTGGATTTTCCTTTTGGTCAAGATTTAAGATATCGAATGAAATAACGATGAATCAAGTTCCCTTTCACGATCCACTCCAATTACTCTTTTGTCCTTTTCTTCACCTTGTTAGACATTCTTCCTTTTCCAATAATAGTCAAACCGATCGTAGCTTGCCAATCCTTTTTAGTTTCCCTTTATTGCATCCTAGCGCGCAACGACACAAGTCGAACGGGAAACCGACATCCTGAGCGGTTTCTCTCGGTTGCTCAGCCTCGTATGAGCTCGGCGGCTTTCCCACTTGACGCCATGCTTCCCAACCCTCTGTCCGGTGCGTCCTCCAACGAAAAGATCGCGGCCTTTCTTGTGTCAGAGCAATCCCCGCAACTCACTGCCCGGGTTGCCCTGCACGCCCAACTGCGACGCCTCTTTGAGGACCCCCGCGCCCAAGCCCGCCTGGGGCCTTTTCTCCCGGACGGACTGACCGTTGCGGCGTACTGCCGTGACCCCAATGCCCGCGCGGCGTTTTTCCCTCAGACCCGAAAGGCTCTCCTGCAGGCTGTCCTGGCGAGTGCGGCCCACCAACGGCTGCGCGAGGCCCACGCTCGGTTCGCTGCCTGGACGTGTCACAACGCCTTCCTGTTACAGTACCAACAGACTCGCCACAACCCACCGCTGCGAAGGCGCCTCAGGGCGATGCATCTCCGGACCTCTTTTGCGGCGACCCCTCGCGTTGAGGGCCCGGACGAGAACCGCATCGAGGACCAACTCGCCGAGTACGCTAAGCTCCGCGCGGAGGCTACGCGTTGCTTTGCCGAGCTGCAAAAAAGCACTCTTCTTGAGCGGTTGGATGAGTTTCTTCGACATGAGCGGGATCTTTTCCACACGTTTGGTATTTATCGCCTGCTTTCTCTTTGCGAACGGGCGGAGGGGGGCGGTGGGGGGGACTTTGCCCTCCCGACGATCCTCCGCCGCAGCCTCGCAAACTGTCTGGAGGGGGAAGGGGAGGGGGAGGGAAAGAGGGATAATCAACATTTAGCCCCACGCAGCCTTTCTCATCTTCTCGCCCTCGCCCCCTGCTTCTACAGCTATGACGAAAACGACGGGCGGCGAACGGGGCGGATCGATTTGATGATTTACGATGAATCGACGGGGACGGTTTTGCTCATGATCATCGACGCGGCGGGCGGGGGGTGGTGGAACGCGCAGGAGGAGCGCTATCGCCTCGCCGCCGCTTTACACCGCGCCCTTCTCAGTGAGAAGGAAACACATCACTTTGAATGCTCAGGCACCCCTGCGGAGTCCTTTTTTGACCCTAAGGAAGGGATAGAAAAGAATTATTACGGTATTATGGCGCCTCTACGGCTACGCTCGAAATCGCAAACTAATATCGACATTCCTTTAAGCGCTTTTCGCCCTTTTACAAAATGCCCGCCGCGGTATTTCATCGTAAATAAAAGCATTCGCAATGCAGGTTTAGAAAGTGCATTCAGCCCGTTTAATTTTGCACATGTTGGCTTAAATAAGTCTGCGATTCATCTCCTTAGCGTTGTTTCTGTTGATTACGTCGAGAAAAATATTTTACCCCGATTAATCAACAATTCAGAGGAGGATAAAAGTTATGATTTGCAGCCCTCGCAGCGGCTCACTTCTAGAACACGATTATCTGAAAATTCTCCTTACATAGTTACTGCGAATAATAAAGAAGAGGAGGAAGAGCTTAATTTGGAAACTCCTCAGGATTTGCTGGATGGTTTGTGTGGATGGTTATTGAAGCGACGAGAATTGTGGACGTCACCGGGGTTTATTTGTAAAGATGTTTGGAATGAAGAGCTCAAGACGCTTTCTTCTACCATCTTTAAGGAAGGTCATATGCAGACGCCTTTGGAAGTATTTGACAACATTTTAGCGGAAAGCAACGGCGTAGAAAAGAAGAGAGTCTCGAGCGTGGCTTTTGATTATTCCAAACGTTCGTCACAGCTTTCGGATATCTCCACAAATCGAGTACATGCAATTCAAAGCCAAGAAAAGGTTTACGAATGCGGTATAATTGAAGGTTAATTTGTCAATGAGAAGGCTTAGAATTGGGTTAATTTTCCATATCCAAAAGGACTTTTTTTTCCTTCTTTATACATACGCATATTTTTATGTTTAAACTAAGATTTCTTTCCCTCAAAAGATTATTATCTGCTAGATCAATAAAATAATTAGAGTTGTGTTTTCTTTTTTGATCTCCTTTGTTTTTGATCCACACTGGCGATTTTTTTTCATGGTTGGATGTTAACCTTCAAAATAATCGTTAATGATTTGGATTCAAGTATTCCATTTTCCTTCTTTTTTGTTGTAGTTTTTATGCATTAAGATCGTATTTAATGGTAAAATTTAGCTGAATTGTGTATTTTATAGTGGTATTTGTAGAGGTCTGAATTCTTGAATTCATTAAAAAAATGTTAGCATAGGGAAGAACGGTAAGAAATTGTTTGCCTTTTCAGTGTTTATCACTTCTCTATAGTAGTCATTCCCTTTTATTATCTTTGCTGTTAAATAAGCACAAATAAAATTTTATTCAGATACGTTCTACATCATGATGCTTCATTTTATATTTAACTAAAAACAGATTATATATATATATGTATATTCTTGAAGATTTACAAGCGTGATTTGCGTTATTCCATCTTTAACTCTTTTTGATTATTATTATTTTTCATTAGAACACAGCGTCAAAAAACCTTTTTTTTGAGCGTCAAGTCTGACAACCATATCGTATGTGAAATCTGAAAAAAAAACCAAAGCGATCATTTAGGCCCCCCCCCAAAAAATGAATGAACAAGTTATCGAGTACCGACGATTTCTTGAACGTTGGCAGAAAAACGACGACCGAGTAGTTTCGAATAATTCTGTGGATTCCTTTCTTTTTGATTTACCCCGCGCCTTTTCCTCCCCGATAAAGCAGAGTTTCCGCCCACATGAGATTGTCCCTGGTCTTTACCTTGGCGCCCTGCATGACGTGCAGCCTCTCCAAACTCTTCACCGCCGCATCGTCGACGAATCGCGTCGGAGGGCGAAAAATAACTCCAGCGATGACGGCAATTTGGCAAATCGGAAAGATCCCTTAAAAAAAAAGCCGCACCAACGCGGTGGGGGAAGCCCCTGGATGAAAAGAGGGAGGGGCGTTCTTTACGGGAGAGATTTCTTTCGTCTTCTCGGTCGTTTGATTCTGATAGTTTGCAGAAGCCCCCGCGGGACTCTCACGAGCTTTATTTGTTAATATCCGCTTGCGTGACCTCACTCTCGGAGGCTAGGCTCGAGCTAAGGCAGCTGGATTCATCACGAGCCCCTTCAAAGATTCGCGCATCAATGGCGAATCCACATCCTAAAGTAGCTAGTAAACCTACAAATTATCGCAATGCGATTCATCCTAATAATCATATCGATAATGAGTTTAAGGATAATATCGCGAAGGAGAAGGCGCGCGCCGCGGCGAGAAAGGGCCTTGGCCGTCTGGTCTGCAGCTTTACCCTGGCGAAGCTTTCCAAGCAGATCAAATTCCTTCTCAAAGACGAGGAACTCAAGCATATGAATATCCAAGCGGAAGGCCTATCCATGTCTTTTCCATCGAAAGAGGAAATTAATGAATCAGTAATGGGGGATGGAAAGAATAATATTAGGGATGCGTATGTTTCTGTCCGACAGCGCGCCGCGCGGAAGTTTTGGGATTGGATGGAGGATATACGGCATAAAACCTCCGCTTCGAATTCGGATATTGGGAATTTGGCGAGCGGATACCGCGGCGGCGAGAAGCCTATGAATTTTTCCTCTTTAGATATTAATAGGAATTGTAAACATTTTGTTTACTGGCGACTTGCACTGCCAGTGGTGGATGAGGAGGTTAGGGATATCCAACAATATTTTAGCGTGGTATCGTTCATTATATTAGCCGTACTTTCCGGATCCCGCTGCGATGTCGCGCTCGGTAAGAGTCCTTCGAACGCTAAAGATAACGCCCTGGAAAAGGGAAATAGTTATCGAAATGAAGCAATTTTGGAAGGATCTGAAACGGAAGTTTCTACTGAAGAGTTAAAACTTGGCAAACGAATAGAGAATCAATTACATTATTGCCGAATTGGAATCCCTTCAGTTGTGGTTCACTGCATTGCGGGGAAGTCGCGTTCGGCGGCGATCGTGGTGGCCTTTCTTCTCACGCTCTGGATGCAAAGGCGCCGCCACCTTAACACGTTGAAACTTCACTATCTAATACCTGATGAAGGTGGTGACTCAATAAGGAACCTTACTGAGGAAAAGGTGTCAATACTAGCTGCGGAATACGTCAAGGCTGCAATTGATTACGTGCAAAGTGTACGGTTATGTGTGTGCCTGAACCCAGGCTTTGTCAGGCAATTGAAAGACTATGCAAAGATTGAACTTCTTAAAGGATAATATTCTCTCATTTACTTAAAGGGTTCGGAGGGGAAGGAGACTGCTAGGTCTTTACTCTAAGGATGATATAGCTTTTCTCTGTATTCCTATCATTATCC